TTATGATCTTGTTTGTCTTTAGGTTAAGGCAGCGATAACCTCTGTGGAGAAGAGGATAACCGAGAAAGAGGCAAGGTGTTGAACGAGGAGCAAGTTTGTGTGTTGTGGCGGTGTTGACATTCGGAAAGCAAAGAGAGCCAAAGACACGCAGATGATCGTATGTAGGATCACGACCAAAAATAAGGGAATGAGGTGTCTTGTTGGCGATAGCACTGGAAGGCAGAATGTTGATGACATGCGCCGCCACATGAAGCGCCTCTGCCCAATAAGAGGAAGACAAGTGAGACTGAAACAAAAGACATCGAATGGCATTGTTAATAGTTCTGATCATTCTTTCAGACTTCCCGTTTTCTTGGGAGGTGTGAGGACAAGAGAAACGAAAAACAATGCCATTGGAATCAAAGTGATTATGAAAGTTTTTGTTATTGTATTCCCCCCCATTGTCACATTGAAAAGCTTTTATATTTGCCCCAAACTGTTTTTGAACAAAAGCAGAGAGATGTAAAAATTTGGAAAAGACATCACTTTTGTTTCGTATTGGATAAACCCATAGATAGTGTGAAAAATCATCTAAAAAGAGCACATAGTAGCGTATGCCACTTAAGCTAAGGACAGGAGATGTCCACACATCCGAGTGTATGAGTTCGAATGGCTTAGTTGTCTGTGAAGTTGATTTGGAAAACGGTTGTTTAAGGTGTTTTCCTAAATGACAAGCAGAACAAGAATGAAAACCCTCTTTATTAAAATGAATAGAGTTCGAAGAAAAACAAAGACTTGAGAGTATCATTATTAGCGTGGGAAATACGCTTATGCCAAAGAGATGGAGACTCGCAAACAAGAGCAGAGTGGCGAGTGTTATTGAGAAGAGAGGGGACTGAATAGAGATCGCCAGAGCTCTCACTGCGGAGTATTGTTCTCCGAGTTTGCAGGTCCTTCACCGAAAAACCAAACGGGTCAAATTCCACAGAACACCAATTATCTTTTGTTAAACGACGCACAGAAATAAGGTTTTTAACAATTTGAGGAGCCACAAGAACATTATTAAGATGTAAAGGTCGTGTCACGGTAGGAATGAAGGAATTACCAGATGACTTTATTGGTATGGAGGATCCATTACCTACTATGTCAGAGTTTCTGGTGTTCAATTTAAAAACAGATTGAAGCGTACCTGGCGAAGACGCGAGATGTGACGAAGCTCCTGAGTCCATGTACCAGTGTGGGGAAGGTTCTTGCAGTGTCATCGTGTTAAACGCTTCTGCAAAGTCCCTCGTAGGTTGGTAGGTGTCAGCGAAGTGAGCTTCTTGTGGAGCGACAGAGCGGGGAGTGTTTGGCCGTGGGTATTGCTGCGACATCCAAGGAGCGTACTGATTCTACCATGGGTTGTATTGACCAGGCCAATGTGAAGGAGGCATGTTCCAAGGAGAGAAGCGTTGGTAGGTGTTGTACCTTCCTCTACCGCGACCTCCTCTTCTGTTTCCTCTGTTGTTGCGTTGGTTGCGATGTTGAGTATCCTCCTTAGGTTTGGACGCTGATTGCGTGACAACAAGAGCCGTCGAGGAGGAGGAGTGATCAGTGTTTGTTGGGAGGACTGAAGTGGAGCGATTTAGCCTTGTTTCTTCCATCTCCAGCATATTTTTGGCTTCATCAAAACTCGGAAACGGCTTCTGATGTTTGATTACGTTGATGATGTGATCGAACTTGGGGCTAAGTCCGTTCAACATGTACATGACCAGTGTCTTATCACCGACTGGTTCAGCAACATTTTGCAAGAGATCTGCAATTGATTTGAGACTCTGTGAGTACTCTTTAATAGATAAATCACCGATTACCTTGGTCCGCAAGTCATTGTCGAGCTGAATAGCTCTGGCTTCCTTGTTGTTACGGAACTGATTCTCGATCCGTAGCCATATGTCACGGGCTGTCCCTCCAACTTGGAAGACGGATTTGAACAGCGGTTTGGCAAGGGTTCCGTAGATCCAAAGTTTGACAAGCCCATCGCGTTTCATCCATGGAGCATCGTCATCGCCGGTTGGTGATGAGGAACCGTCGACGTGACCAAGGAGGTCAAAGGTGAGGCAGTGCATTGTGAAGAGTTCTCTCCACGCATCGTAGTTGAATTCATCTTGATCAAGGATGAGCGGAATGTGATGTTTGATATTGGTGACTCTGAAAGCCCTCTCAATTTGAGCCATAGAGCAGATTGTAGAAGAGCAATTGAGTCACACAAAAAAGAAAAGAAAAGAACGAAGAGAAGTATCAGATTGAGACTCGCTCTGATACCATGTAAGTCTGAATATTTCCCTTGACATTATCAATCAGATTACAAGTGTTTATATACACACATTAGTTACAAGTAGCTAATATCTTCCTAGATTACAGGAGAGCATATCTGAGACTTGAATATTCTACGGCATATTCTTTCACATACAAATGTTAAACATAAGGGATTTGAGCAATGACACATCTTGTAATTATTCTAGTAAACTAAGGATATTTAACTAAAGGAGGTGAGAGGACTTGTGGAACTGCCACATAGGAAATGACATGTGTATAATAAACACATTAAATAAAGGTTACTCTTTAAAAATGCTCCTCAAATAATAGTAAAGGGATTTATATGAATAAAGGTTACTTTTGATATTTTATCATATTTATTCGAGTAATATTACGTTATATATAACTTTAGATTTTCTGAGAAATATGAAAAATATATAATATAGTATAATTTTTTAGTATGGTTTTTTTAAAAAAAAAAATCTTAGGTTTGAATAATTATTTAATTCATAATAGAATTATGATGATATAATTAAATCAACCTAGGTAATAGAAATTTTTTCATATATATATATGGGCTTATATCAAACTATATGATATATACGATTTGAAATATAAAAAAAAATAAATAATGTTGATTGATTCCAAAAATCAACAAATCAATAAATAATAATTAATGATCATGCTTCCTAATTGAAACTTTATTATATATTGGATAAAATTAACTATGTTACATATGTATCGTTTTTCAGCTTCGGTTAAATGGAATAATAACGATTTGTTATAAAGGAAAACAATCTAGATTAATATAAAAGTAACTTAAATAAGTAAAAATAATTTCTTAAAATCAGTTAAATCGATTAATTTCTTATAACGAATAAAATAATAAATATAAAAGTAGTCTAAAATAAGTAAAAATAGTTTATTGAAATTGATTATTATATGCCAATGATCAGAACTTATTTTTCAATTTTATATTCAATTATACAGTTAAATACCGTATAAGGAAATAAATAATGTTGATTGATTCTAAAAATCAACAAATCAATATATAATAATCAGTAATCAATGCTTCCTAATTTGAAACTATATATTATATATTGGATAAAATTAACTATGTTACATATGTATTGTTTATTGGCTTGGGTTAAATAGAACAATAACGATTTGTTATAAATTAAAGAAATATCGATTAATATAAAAATAGTCTATAATAAGTAAAAATAATCTCTTGAAATCAATTAAATCGATTAATTTGTTATAAGGAATAAAACGATATATATATTAGTAGTATAAAATAAGTAAACATAATTTCTTGAAATCAATTGTTATAACCAATGATCAGAATTTCTTCTTTTTAATTTTATATTCAAATACACAATTAAATACAATATAAAATATAAGGAAATAAATAATGTTAATTGATTCCAAAAATCAACAAAATCAATAAATAATAATCTATACGACATGAAATATAAGGAAAGAAATAATGTTTATTGATTCTAAAAATATATAAATCAACAAATAGTAATCAATAATCAATGCTTCCTAATTTCAAACTATGTATTATATATTGAATACAATTAATTATGTTACATACAAATGTTAAACATAAGGGACTTGAGCAATGACACATCTTGTAATTATTCTAGTAAACTAAGGATATTTAACTAAAGGAGGTGAGAGGAATTGTGGAGCTGCCACATAGGAAATGGTATGTGTGTAATAAACACATGAAATAAAGGTTACTCTTTAAAAATGCTCTTCAAATAATAGTAAAGGGATCATGATTCATGACTTCATCTAACACAGAGAGTCGCATATATTTTTAAAAACTATAGTATAGTAGACTTTGGTTATAGTTAATGTCCTTTTACTTATACATCAATTTAACTTATGAATTGTATGTTGGACATTGCTTTCTTGCGGAAAATTTCAAAAATAAAAACTCAATTTTCAAATAAAAAAAAGGCGTGATGAGACTAACAAATACAAGTTGATATTTTCTTCGGAGGCATCTTCGCGGAATGTTCCACACGTGGAAGAACAGTGAAACAAAACGTGCTTCCATTATAAAATTGCCAGTTGGCACCACAGCTTGCTTTACAAAAATAAAAAGATTTACTCAAAAGTTATTATCTTCCTTTTATTAATTATTAAAAATTACTGAAAAAGCCTTCACCAGCTCATCACCAACATCATCATCCCCCTCCTTTATAAACAACCCTAGGGACTACTTCATCGCCTTCTTTCGTTTCACCTTTGATCTATACCCTTTTTTTTTATTTTACGTCTTCTCTCGATCAGCTAAGTATCGATCCATTCTTGCTCTCCCGTTTCATAATCATCTCCTCTCTCGCTTGATTCGTTTCGATTCTGTTCTCAGATCTATTCTCTGTTGATTTCAGATCTAGATCTAGAGTTTGATTAAATAAAAATCTGGTGATTCTGACAAAAAAGAAGGAATGATTATAGGTTCTCTATGAGCTACTCAGTTCTTCTTCGTCGTATTCGCATAGTACACTCTTTCTCCGTCGTTTATCTTTACTACTCTTACGTCTTCTCATGAACTAATCTCTCCCCGATCTCCATCATTTTTCGTTCAATCTAACCGATTCCTTGATAGATTAGCGAGCGGGAAATTTTAGATCTGTCTGTAGAATTTATAGGGATTTAGAAAGAATTATTATTATTATATTTTGGTAAAGTCAAAAAGTCAACGGAAAATGAGTTCGAAAAGTCCAGATTCCGACAACGATCCGAGGTACGCTTCCGTCACGGACGAGAGGAAGAGGAAGAGAATGATCTCCAACAGAGAGTCCGCTCGGAGATCAAGGATGAGGAAACAGAAGCAACTCGGCGATCTCATCAACGAGGTCACTGTTCTCAAGAACGATAACGCAAAGATCACCGAGCAGGTTGATGCAGCTACGAGGAAGTACGTTGAAATGGAGTCTAAGAACGATGTGTTGAGAGCGCAAGCTGTGGAGCTGACGGAGAGGTTGAGGTCGTTGAACTCTGTGCTTGAGATGGTTGAAGAGATTAGTGGTCAGGCTTTGGATATTCCTGAGATTCCTGATTCGTTGCAGAACCCTTGGAGTGTTACTTGTCCGTTGCAAACCAATCAGGGCTTCTGCTGAGGGTTTTGAGATCGTGGCTTGTTCGGGTTTACTTATTGTCTTGTCCGAGTTTTGTTACAATTGGAGTCATTTGTGTGTGTCGTTGTCTTTTATAAAACTTCAGTGTCTTGTTTTTTCCGTTATTTCAGTTTGTCTGGTCATCTAGTCATGTGTTGTCTATTACTTAAGATAAGGTTGTCATGTATTTGTGTTTCTTAATGAATTCAAGCTTTCTGTTGTTTTTCTTATATTATACTATCATCTTTTCGATTTTATGAATCTTGCCAAATTACAAAAGTATATAACCTGACTGAGTCTAAAAGACCGCATTCATATCATATCACCAAATTGACCGGAACAACATATTTGTATGTAAAATAGGGACGGAATCATGGAACATGATGGAACAGTTTCAGTTGTCGTAAGTCCGACATTCGTTAGTCTCAGGATTGTCTTTGCAGTATTCCTCCAAAGGGTCGGAGTCTTTCTTCTTGTCCCTAGCATGGCTAGCTGCTGCGCTAAGCTCCTCAACCTCATCCCAAGCAGCTACACACTCTCCGCTCACTGGGTCGCCAGCACAAGTCTCCTCGGCGTCCTTGATGCTCTTCTCCACTTTATCCGATATCCCTCCTTCTGGGGTTGCTCTAACCGGCCTAACTGTCACCGCACGGTTCGTTCTTCTTGAACCAATAATCCACGGATTGTTCAAACGGACTGGACCTGCGAGACGAACTGGTCGAGCCTCGCTGGTGATGACGGCTCTTTGGGTACCAATGTTAAGACTACTTGCTATAGTTGCCATCTTTTGATGTTTTTATGGATAAAAGAAGTAGATAGTTCACATAAACTGGAGCGAAAGAAGATATATAGAGAGCATGAATTTAATTCTGTGAACTCCCATCTCTTATCACATATTAACCAACCATAGAATTACACGTGTTTAAGATATTTTGTTATTCGATCGAAATATGAAATTTTGTAGCCATCCAAGCCGTTTTTCTAGAATACCACACACTGATCCTCAGATATTTTAAAACATTCAAATAAAATCTATTTACCCATGAGAACTATCATATAGCATCAAATCCCCACCGAACTATGACCTCATGCTAGATCTCCACGAATTGAAAATTGCAAACCTATTTCTCCCCGAATTAAAAATTGCAAACTTATTTCTCCCCGAATCAATATTTCAAAACTTAATTACCCACAGACGATGGTTTTAATTGGTTTATTCTTAACCAAACATCTTGAAATCAAGTAAACCAAACCAAAATCCAATTAAATAAAACAAAATCTTCTTCTGTTGTAAAATAAATCCATTAGAATTAATACATAAGAATGTTTACGATAATTCAGGTGGGGATTTAATTGGATTTTGATTTGGTTTACATGGTTTTAAGATGTTTGGTAAAAAATAAACCAACTAAAACCAATTAAAACCATTGTCTGTGGGTAATTAGGTTTTGAAGTATTGATTCGGGGAGAAATAAGTTTGCAATTTTCAATTTGTGGGAGTCTAGCATGATGTCATAGTTTGATGGGGATCTGATGCTATATGATAGTTCTCGTGGATAAATAGATCGTCTACCCAATAAAATCAGGAAAGATGTATTGAAATATAACAATGATCTCAGATTTGTTGTTTATTTCTTAAGCAAGCAACCCTTTTTCTCACGTAACTTTGTCTGAGAAGTCAAGAAACCGTAATAATAACATAAAAATAGAGCTTTGAGAGTGGTGGCCTAGTGTTGAATTTCACTCTTCAGGGTGGACAACGCTGATCTCGCCTCTCTCAAGCAAGTCATAGAAAGCTCTGGTTTTCCTCTGCTCGTTCCAGTGGTGCATCTTCCAGAGACCACCAGCAGCTAAACCGAGTGCCAAACCGATAACTAATTCCTTCACCACACTCGGGCCTTTCAGTGTGGCATGCGCAACCTTGTGTCCTGCCATTTCAACCTTGCAAAAATTCCCTGCCATATAGAGCCAATACAACTATCAACAATAAAATGACAACTTCACAATCTTCATGAAGCAGCTAAGGCTGAAAACTTTTTTTTTTTGAATGAATAAGGCTGAAAACTTGATTTAACACCCAGTAAACATCTTGTTCTCTCTACATATAGAGAGAGTATCTGATGGATCAAGATATGTTCTGTAAGCAAATTCTTATCTAGGTAAGCATATACGCATTTGGAGTTTATATGTACATAAACACATACACACTCTCATAAGGATCAGATAGATTCTGAACCAATTTCATTTGTTGGTATGCATAGATTAAAGATATACACGAACACATACTTTTCTGGATCAAATAAGTTCCTGAACGCAATTATGAAGGAGCTCAAAACCACACACATGTATAAATTTGCATCTTCCACAAAGAAAATGATTTAAAGTTTCAGAGAATCGCTACCCTAACAGAGAGAGTCAATCAATCTCGAAAGCGAGAAATAAAGAATATAAAAGTTGACCATAAACTAAACTCATGGATCCGAATCTGACAAAAGTCAATCCGCTACATGTTTTTGATAGCCAATCAAATCATAAACTAGAATATCGCCTCGAAATCTTATGAGGAAACGACAGAAATAAATGGAAGAATCTTGGATTTTACCTGCGTAGATGAGCGAGATCGAGAGAGAGATAGAGAGAGATGTACGACGACTAACGAAATGGGAAGCAGAGGAATCCGATCACCTCAGTCCTCTACTCCCTTAATCTCTTATTGGGCCAAGAGAGGAGTTTGATAAAGCCCAATGTATGGCCCCTTGTGTGGCCTATCATTTTCCTATTTTCATGTGAACAGATGCATAACCCTTGATAATAAAAACAAACTAAAGTGGGTTAGAGCCTGAAAACTAGGGCTGGGCAAAAAACCCGGATCCGAAGAACCGAACCGAACCCGATCCGAAAAAGTAGTATCGAATCCGAACCGAAATTGATTCAATATCCGAATGGGTTCAAAATTTTGGTATTTAAAGAACCGAAACCGAATCCGACCCAAACCGAAGTATTTCGGGTATCCGAATATATCCGAAAGAGATTTATATACCTATATATATTAGTTATTTTTAGATTTAATGTATATATAAAAAACATTCAATATATATAAAATACTTTGAAGTTATTCAAAATACTTGTAAATATATGTAAATATATGTAAATAGTCAAACATACATGTCTAAAATTACTAAAGTACACTTAAAACATCAAAAATACTTAAAAAAATTATTGATTCTCAATCCAAATATTCAAATCAAACTAATTTATATGTTAATTTTAGGCATTTTGACTTATGTTATTCAATTATTTGTAATATGTTATTTTCTTTATAGATTTTTAGAAATGTAAAGTATATAATCAATTTTAAAATTTTTAAAATAATTTAAATGGGTTATCCGAACCCGAACCGAACCGGAACCGAAATTTAGAAATATCTGAATGGGGCTAAAATTTGTGAACCCGAAAACCTGAAATCCGAATAGATCTGAACCGACCCCGAACGGGTACCCGAACGCCCACCCCTACTGAAAACCAATATAAAAAGAGAAATTTGCTTCCCTACCAAAAAAACTTTAACTTAATTTGCAAAATGCCAAAAACATAAAATTCGTCAACTGTTTATGCTGCTTATTTACTCTGCTACCATTCTCTAATTAAACCTCTCACCTAACCAATGAGAATTTTTGGCAAACAATAGAATCGAAGAGAGAGAAGCAGTAGATATGCAAGATATACCATATCTTTTTTTGCCAGTGCTTTTGGCGCAGTGAACAAAGAAACCAAACAAGTTAAAAAAGAAGAAGATAATTTCATATATCAATCCAAAGTTCATTGTTTCTCTCCTTCCCCAATTAAATTTAGTTAAACTCAATCAGTGTATGAATGAGGATGATGGTTCGCGGAGGCCACCATGTTCACTCTCCGAGAGATTTTCGCCATCGGAGAAGAATCCACCGGCGTCAAGGTCACTCTGTACCACAAGTAAACGAAATCTAACGTGTTACTCATTCTCTAAAGGATTTGGTGACATGCATCTTATAACAACTGTTTATGTGTCTACTATCAGTGAAAAAAAACAAATATGATTCGGTTTGTTTGATGAAGAGTCTACTCGGAAAAGACCTTTCTTTAAAAATTCCGCCAAAGCCAAGCCAAGCCAATCGAGGAACCTGCAATGTCTGCGTTTGGATGGATAATTAAATTTATTACTAGTTCGCAAAACTGTTAACCGTAAACTTTATTTAATAGATAGTCAGAAAAATTATTATACTATAACAATAAATTTTGAATAAATAAAAGTTGAATTTTTCATTACCATTAACAAGCTACCAAAAAAGTTACACATCCAACTACAAAATTAGCAAGAAATCTTATATCATAGACTGTTGGAGTAAGGGCTTCGGTTTATGGTTAATAAAACTATTGAACGTAGGGATATGATAATTTATAGCTAATATATCAGTTAGATGTTCATTTAATGTGTTAACCATCCAAAAAATGTGGTAACCATCCACTAGGAAAACTGAACATCTGATAATTGATTTATACAATTTAGATTAGCCGGTTACAAAACATTGGATACATAGACTTATTAGATTAACCCGTTAAAATACATCAAATATGGTAACTTATTAGATTAGCCGTTATTTTTGTAAATATTCTACATCTAATTATTGTTAGCAGACCCTATTTCTTGGACCATGTTATCAACATATGCTTGTATTCTAAATTGTATAACCATATATTTGATTAAATTACATATATTTATTTTAATTGGCTAGCTAAAGAATGAAAACAAGTACACAACCAAATTTTCAAAACAGTTGCCTAGCTAATATATATTGTACATACTGCACCAAAACTATTGTCGGCTAATATTTTTTTACACATATAGCTAACAATTTCAAAATAACAAAAATAAATTTTTTTCTTGTGGTTTATTGTTTCAGAGTGTTTAACATGCCAAGATTTTGAATGATAAATCTCGCTCATTGATTAACACATAGATTTAAAAGAAGAAGAGAAACATATCAAAAGCTCCACAATTTTTTCATAGCCAATGTAAACGAAATCTCATTCTTATCTTGCCAAATCTAGTGATGATTTTGTATCAAACACAACTATCCGAAATTCAAAACCGGAAAAGGTGAGAAGTCCAGCGAACAGGGTATTTTCGTCTTTCTATCACATTTTCATGTGCCACGTAGACAACCGCTTTTGTCTCTTTGGTATTATGCTAATATTGTAATCTTTCATGGAGCTAAATTCCCTATAAAAAATACATGATATTTTTCCTTTTAGTATAGATATATAATAGACAGATGTATATTATTTTCTTATGCTCTTTCCAAATTTTCATTTATTTTGGGAAAATCACATAAAAAACCTTCAAAATGACTTTTATAAGCACTTTAAACCTTGAATTTTTTTTCACTAGCACTTTTAACCTTCAAAGTGACATTAGTGTCACAAAAAACCTTGAATTTGAAAATCTGACCTATTGAACAGGTAAAACATGTACTTTATCAAGTTTTTTTCAAAAATATATATTTAATAAATAATCAAAAATGAATAAAATCAATTAAATTTTCAAAAAATTAAAGAAAATTTCAAATCATAAAGAAAAATTTATATAAAAAAAATTGAAATACCAAATATTAAATAAAATTCAGAAAATAAAACAAAAATTAAAGAAAATTTAAAAATCAAAAGTTCAAAATAGTTTTTAGTAAATTACAAGATTATGTTTTTAACTATATGAAACCATCAACTTCAACAGTGATATGTTTGAAATTTTTATTGTCAGTGATGATATGTTAATTTTATTGGAAAATTGCATAAAAATTACAAGATTTCTTTTTTCAAAAATCTGAACTTTTATAGTTGAAAACAAAAATTTCAAATATATTACTATTGACGATGATGGTTTCAAAAAGTTTTCAATTTTTTTTTCTAAATGTTTTTTTATGTTCTGAAATTTTATTTATTTTTTTGAAAATGTAATTTAGTTTTTGATTTTTATTTATTTTTGTTTAATTTTGTGAATTTTCTTTATTTTTAAAAATATTCAGAATTTTATTTAATTTTTGGTATTTCAAATTATTTTTATAAATGTTTCTTTATGTTCTGAAATTTTATCTAGTTTTTTTTTGAAAATTTACATGATTTTTATTAATTTTTTGATTATTTATTAAATTTTTATTAATTAATTGTTTAGTTTTAAAAAAAAACTTGATAAAATACATGTTTTATCTGTTCAAGATGTCCGATTTTCAAGTTTAAGTTTTTTTGTGACACAAATGTCACTTTGAAAGTTTAAAATGGTAGTGAAAAAACTTCAAGGTTTAAAGTACTAGTAAAAGTCACTTTGAAAGTTTTTTATGGATTTTCCCCATTTATTTTAATACTTGTGGATTTATTATATTCTTGTTTTCATTTTAATACTACACATTTACTCATATATAATTTCTTTCTTCCTTAGACATGCATGTAACTTACTGGACTCTATATAGTAGGTCATATTATATTTGTGAAAATTTAGTTACTTTTAATACATGAGGATTATTCTATTTTTTTTTTCATTTCCTTGTGAATATATAAATTATAGTGTTTTCATAAATATATGGTAATACAGTTTCTTTCTTTAATATATTATGAATAAAATATAGTTGTCCTTATGCTCTTTCTGAAAATTGATTTATTTTTAATACACGCGGACAGATACAGTGTGAAATCTTAATACAAAAACATCTTTGTAATGACAATAGTCAGCCACAACCCAAAACTAAAATAATGAACCCATAACTTCACTGTAAACAAGAAAGAGAAGCTCTTTGAATGTGGTACCAAGAACAAAACAACAGAGGGACATAGAACCGTGTAAACCTAATCTTTGTCCTAGAGATCGTTTTCCATGGGTGTAAATGCAACGTTCTTGGGACTAAATAACTTATATGCAATAAAACCTGACACAGCAAGAGAAATCATGGATATCACAATGGCAGAAATGCTGGTTCCATCAGTAGATCCCTTGACAGTTGAAGCAGTCAGAGCCGATGAAGAGCCCGAGGAAATATCTAGTGGGATCCAATCGCAGTTGATCGTATAGTGCCCTGATCCATGCCACGGTTTGCTGTCCATTGGGTACCAGAATGCAACTGACATTTTGGCTGTTGAGCCAAGCGTGAACTGAACATCCTGTAGATAAGAAGATGTTTGTCTTTAAACACATGCTATTCCGACTTAAAAGAGCTGTATCTGCCTTATACGAGTCAAAGAATGCTAATTCACAGAGGTAAGAACCTTTGGAGGTTATGGTATGCATTATAGAAGGGACAAAGCTATGTAATAGAGAAAGAAGAATGGTAAACGAAGGTGTCTGACCCTAAGTAAGGGATTTACTCACCTGTTGGAGACGGTCCATAGTTCTTAAAGGTCTTGAAAACTCGAAATAGTAAGTTCCTTTCTGGCCTTCTGGCGTGTAAGGGCTGTCTTCCGCTACATACCCTGTGGAAAACTTCAAAGATAAGTAACTAGAGGAGTTGCTAATAAACACAGAGCTTAACACAATTCCAAGGATGATAATGTATGTCTGACCTGATTGAGTAGTGAAACTGCTATGCCACCACGCTCCATGCCAATCGTTCTGTGCACTAGAATCATTTCCTGCTAGAAGAATATACATGAGGATAACGTACTTGAATTTTTGCACACAAGAAAGAAATAGCTCTTCAAGTTTCCGAGTAGATAAGCTAGCACCAAACTAGAAAACAAATACTAAGCTATCATGAACTAAAGCAAAATGAAAAAACAGAAGTAATTTACGTTCATGGCTTTGACATTACATATGGTCATAATAGGGAACATCTATGCCATTAATGCCTTGTGAGTTAAAAATTAAAACTATAACACTCTCTGGTCCGAGACAAGAAGTACCTGAGGGACCAAGACCATCAAGGTATCGACAATGTGGATTCCAAGCATAAATGTCAACCAGATGACCAAATCTGTTCATTTGAAAAAAACACAGAGACATTCAGTAAATTAATAAACATATGTTCACTGAATTGGTACAGCACCAGATCAAAGAATGAGAAAAAAAAACAAGAGATCCATATCACCTGTCACCTCCATTTCCTTCCCCGTTGTCTACTGGATTACCACCGTAAAGGCGTCCCGGAATCGCATTTCCGATGGAGAAATGCATAATATCAACCTCAAAGCCTTTGCAAGCCTTGCTGGTACATGAGTCCGTCCCTTCTTTACAACCACCCATCTTATGTAGCAAAAGGTTGAAAATTAAAGAAAATCATGAACCTTCTATGGAAAAAATCAACAAAAAAATACTCAAAGTCATTTATTAGGAAGCTTACATCGTGATAAGTTGCTTGATCACCAATCTGGAACATGAGAGCCACTGAAGGACACTTCTTGTTTTCACTGGATTTAAAGAGGCAACCAGATCACTACAGGAGTGATAAACTTGCAATTTAAAGTTATGTAGAATCAATTAAATCAAGAAATCATTTGAATATCATCTGAAGCACTAACATAAATCTATTTTAACACCTCCGTATCTTGAAAGTAAATAGACATGCGAAGATCCTAGCAACTGACACTGACGAATAAATTTTAAGTTTCAATAATATTTCAGAAATATCAAGCAAAAATATTACCAATAGAAAATTTCATTGGACCAATCTTTCGTTGCATCAAAACCCAAACACTATTTCATTGGATAAATATTTCGGTTACTATAATATGCGCTCAAGTGTTAAAAGCAAAAGGCATCTCCTAAAACTTGGGAACAGTTACTATAACACTCAGTCACTACACGGTTCTGTTCACCTGTTCTTGGATCTTGTTATGGTGTCTAACAAGTATAACCAAGTTATAAAAGAAAAAACACACGTACCCTTTGTCGTAAGCGTAATCGCCATCAATTTCCACCATGAAATAAATATCTCGACCATCATGCAATGCCTAGAAATACAGATCCAACCATTAAAACGTTATGACCGAACTAAAAAGTCGATGCATCGAACTAAACTCTACCAAATAGATCCGATTCGAATTCAACACATTACCTTGACTGTCATCTGACCAGCGGCATACTCGTGGTCGGCGTCCGGATCAAGTGCAGGACGGAGAGGGAACTCAGAGCCTTCAATGTCTTTCCAGTCATCGTTCCGACCATCTAGGGTGATTAGTCCCGGTCTGAAATCAGCTAAGACCTGGATCTCCGAGTCCGATTCACAACTCCATTCGCCGGACTCTTGGTGCGAGACGACCTTCTCCGTCCCGAAGATCAGAAGACACGCTACGATTAGAAGCTGAAGCATTGTTTAACTTGTCTATCTGTAGGATTGGTTTTTTAGAGTTGACTAATGAAAGATTAGTTATTCGATAACTATTATCCTATACTGTATACTCTTTCGCTTTAGCTTGACTCTTCAAACGGTAAGCAAATCTTGACATCTGTATAAAACAAAAGAAAAGGTTATTCGTATCGACTTAGTGGGCTTTGATACTACTCTTAATGGGCCTTTTAATAGTGTTAAAAGCCCATTAAATCCTCGAGTGTCCAATGATCTTATAATAAACCGACGGCGATATCCAGATCGGAGTCATCGATCGGTCCGATACCATTTAAGCTCCGGTGACTTTGGGAAAATAGCGGACTATACGAAGATTGGTCATTCTTTGATTATCTTCCTCGTAGTGATTACCACTGTCTACAGCGTTTCCGCGGATTCGATAAAAGGCTGCGGTGGTTTTGTTGAGGTTTATCTCTCTTTCTAGTTCTTTCTTTCCTCGGATTCGTTTTTTTCCTTCCACCGTTCTGCTTGGTTCCTGATCGATTGATTAATGTCACGGTTCTTTCAAACCAATCTCGTACCGGTTTTATCTTTTTCTTTTTTTTAAAGACAGAAATTCATTAATTTATAAAATGTAAACATTATATAAATAGTACTAACTATAATAAGATATACATTGAGTTACATAAAGAATATGCAAGAACAACTCATAGGATATAACACTTGAAGACGTTTTTGTCCAAGAACCTTATTTTGTTATCCAATCTTCATACAAGGTATCAAGATTATCGTTGTCTTCTGCACATTCACATTTAACCTAATACGATTTCCATATTTGGCTATCATCCATAAGATGAAACTCCAAACTTAATATTGTAACATAAATATGGTAAACACCAATTTCTTTTGTTGTATAACATTGGCCAACTCCCAATTTAGATCTAACCATATTGTTCGATAAAGAATCCAATATATTGATTCTTTCGAACAAAATAGAAATTGAGATTGCCAATTTTCAACGATTATACAAATATCAACATATAACAAAAGGAATGCATCCTCAGGTTGAAACCATTGTATTTTCCCTCGTAATTTCAATGGTTTCCTTTTAATAACCAATCCACAAATTTGATTTCCAAAAACCCAATATATTGATTTTTCAAACAGAAATCAAACCTGTAATAGTCCATCATCTTCAATATCCCCGACTGTAACACACCATGGTGACTTCTCTTGCATTGATTCGTTAATTCTGCATGAATATGATATGCCTGGATCCCAGATTCATTGTTCATAACACCATGTTACTTGTTGGGATTGAAACTGGACATCGCAAAGGATCGAATTGACCTTCACGGAGATAACGAGTTCAGTTTGAGTGAAATCAACACAATGAAATAATGAAATACTCTCAAAAAGAACCATAAATGCAACATCTCCATAATTGGAGAAGACTCTTTCATCAGAAGGAATTATCGAGAGAGGAACAAAGACCTTCTCACCATCACAAATAAAATTAAAGTACAGAGCCATCGGCAAGGCCGGCAACCCAAACTCTATCATCCTTTTGATCGTCTCTTGAAGAAGCGTTTTTTAGGAGGTTTTTTTCAGTTTTATTTCATTTTATTTATATAGTGGCTTTAATTATATTTCCTTCTCTTTGGATAATTATCAGTTTGTTTACCCATAATTATCCAAATAGAAAGAAAATATAAATAGAGTCAATATTAAATAATAAAAATATATTTGGTTTGGCACACATTAGTCTGTGACATTCCATTGTGATGTGGTAAAAAGATATATACGAAATTTTTTTTTTCTAACACCACAAAATTTTTATTTATTACAAAATTTTTATTTATTGAAATCTAAAAATCTATTGTGAATAGGTTGAGAATACTATTTTTGATGGTTTATCTTTTTACCACATCAAATGGTAAGTCTTAAAAATTCTTTTTATTAATCTAATCATAAATTAACGACATACTTAAATTTAAACGATTAAGAAATTTATTGTGATGCAAATTAAAATCTAATGATGTAAATTTTTATTTGGAATACTTTTGTTGTAGGCCACTATTTTTTCTTGTTGTTATAGTTTTAAGAATTGATTTAAATCATGATTTATAATTAAGAAAACTGTAAATAAAAGTCAAAGATAAAGAAGTATCTATGGTCCAATCAATTATCTTCTATATATAGAAAAACCATAAAATCATAGATAAATTCATAAATACTTGATAAACATGATTACGATATTAAAGATCATGGAGAATTTCAATAGATAATCAAGATAGTTTCCAAATACTGGATCAATATGGAAAACGCTTTTCTTATACAGGAATAATGAAAATCAACCAAAGTAAAAAGGAAAAGGATAAATAGTTTTGTAGAACTCTATAAATAGAGCACAAGCATCTGAGAGCATATAATTTTGTTGTTTAAAGTTCCAACAACACAATGGAGCTATACATGGGTGTCGAAGGTATTCATCGAGAGACACATACGTCGACTATAAAAATTGGGAGAGTTCTCATAAAAACAACCGTAACTGATAAAAACAGCGACATGGACTGTCTTGTCAAGGCGTTCTTGTCAAACATCAAGAACAGGAAGAAAATCATTGGTCTTGACACAGAGCGAGCGCAGCGGTCGTCAGGAGATAAGAATGCAACCGTCTTGCTCCAGCTCTGCGATGGAGACCATTGCCTAATCGTTCAACTTCCTCCCTGCGATGAGCGATTTCCTTCTCTTTTCAATTTTCTAAACCTACCTGATTTCACCTTTGTAGGCGTTGGCATACAAAACACACTTAGGAAGCTGGAGAGCGAGTTTGGTCTGACCTGCAAGAATGCTTTTGAGGTGGGACCCGGCACGTGGAGGAACCTGAAGGTATCGGCCGATGAGAAAGCATGGATCCATAACATTGTTTTGACACATAAACCATCAAGCCCCGTCTTTGACGACTGGGGCGCTTATCTTCTCAACAAAGATCAGATTACGCTCGCAGCCTCGAATGCTCACTTCGCTTTTAGAATGGGTAAGCTTGTGTTGGAGAGTGAAGCCGTGTAGACTATCATCTATATTTTAATAGAGTCATTCTTTTTATCTACCATTGTCATTTAAATTTGAACAATTTATAAAGTGTTACAAATAATACAAGTTATATAGTTGATTGAACCGCATTACTTAAATTAAACCGGCGGTTATTTATGGAATAGAATTATGGGCTTACTTTTGTTTTTATGAGATTTAATTGTTTGGTTTTGGGTTTAGTATTAAAAGAAACTCCAAAAAACATTAAATAAACTTTCCACCTTATGAATCAAAAATCAATTACTATTTTCAGGCCCAAAAATATTTAATATTTTCAGCAAAACAAAATTATGTATTATTAATCACTTATTTAAATCATGTACTTTAAAACATGTTAATATTTTTTAGCCCAAAAATATTTAATATTTTCAATAAAACAAAATTATCTACTATTAATCACTTATTTAAATCATGTACTTTAAAACATGTTAATATTTTTTATTTTAAATAACAATCCCTCTATCTTGATAAATTTTAATGGTAACTTTTAAATAATTTATTGTTTTATTTTTATTAAATAATTTATAGATTTAAAAAAAAAATGTAAAACAAAACCAAAAACCAAATCTATAAACTAAAATCCAAAACCAAAAGATGAAAACGCAGGTTATATATTTTGCTTTTTTTTATTTACAAAATAAACTATTTCAAAAGTTTTAGAAAATTATTTTATCATCTTTTCAGTTTTAAATTACATGTTCGATTAATTGAGATTTGTTTGTTGGTAATATCAGTTCAAACTAACTCAGCGGGTCTCAAAAATTAAAAACCCAAACCAAAAGCTGAAAATCAAAAATAGAAACTTAAAAACTAAAAACTAAAAACCAAAATTTAAAACAAAATCTAAAACTAAAAACTGAAACTAAAAACTAATGAAAAACAACTATCACCACAAATTTTGGTAAACTAATTTTATACAAAAACATTCTTTAAATTAAGACAAAACCCAATTATATAAATTTGAAAATTGAGATTTGTTTGTTGGTAATATCAGTTCAAAATAACGGGTCTAAAAATTAAAAACCCAAACAAAAATCTGAAAATAAAAAATAGAAACTTAAAAACTAAAAACCCAAAACCAAAATTTAAAACAAAATCTAAAAATAAAAACTAAAACTAAAAACTAATGAAAAACAACTATCACCACAAATTTTGGTAAACTAATTTTATACCAAAACATTCTTTAAATTAAGACAAAACTCAATTATATAAATTTTTAATCATAAAAAATTTTTGCGCTTGAAAAAAAGCGAGGATCAAAATCTAGTTACTATTAAAACCGACGTTATTTCTTTTCTTTTTCTTTTAATGAAAAATATAATTTTATCGAACGTCCTTGCTTATTTAGTTGGAATTCTATACTACAAATGCAGTCCAAAGAAATCATGGGTCTAAATCATATAATCAAGATTGTTTATTAAGTAAGAATGTAAGATTTCATTAGTTAGCGTAAAATATTTACGTGTAAATCAACCAAAATATTACAAATTCAGAATATACTATTTTGTTTAACTAGTTAACATGAATATTCTTTTTGTGAAGCTACTAGCTATCCTGTTTCTCCTTGGGTTTGCTATTTACATTCTAGAGATTTCTTTAGCGATATAACCATCTTCACTCTAATCATATAGTTCAACCTTTAAACATAAGATTTTTTTGACAGTAAGGACTAAGGAGTTGTGTTTCTTTAAAGAGTTCTTGCATATGGTTTGTGTGAACCATGAATAATTGTTGATGGATAATCTCACATTAAGAATGATATTTCCTTCCGTTCAAATTAAGAATGTCATGTTTGGTATAATGTTTCTCCCCTTTTTATTGACATGATCAAGTAGTGAGATATATATGTCCTGGAGTTTTTGATTGATTAGAATATATATTATAGAGCTGTAGATGTATTGTGGCACTAACAAGGCATCTGAAAACCTCAGGGTCATATAATATAACTCTGGACACGTCCACATGCGACAAGTTAAAAGTAGAGTTTGACATGTGTTAAATCTAAGTTTATTAGTACCATGGGGCACTCACAGTTGCACGAAACTCCTGCTCCAGACTCTGAACGTCTCTGTCGAGAACCACTGCGTGAGCCTTCATCCGAGCTATCTCCTTTTCGTTTGCCACTTTCTCTTCTTTCATCAATGCTACTCGTCTTTGCAACTCAACAATCTCATCTTCCAACTTCCTTCTTTTATTGTCTTTATCTGTGATATCTCTCTCAGCATTTTGTAACCCGCTCAGTGCCCATGTCTGGCATCTTTTAGTGGACACTAGATTGCGGAGCCGAGATCTAGGTCTTTTAACATCAAACCCGTGTTTCTCCAGCTTGAGAAAGCACTCTTCGATCCTGTTTATGTCGTTCACTGAATCATGGAGTTGTATATCCCTGACTTTATCCAACAGCCCAATGAAGTTGGCCATTGCACCAATGGCTTCTCCCTCACGGAACTCTTCCTCGCACTCTAGCAGTGGACTGAAATGAGGATGCTGTGGCACAGCTTTGAAGATCTCCATTGATTCAAAGACTTTCCAACACGGTGACTTCTTTACAAATGGCAGAACCATTGTTGTTTCTTTTGCTTTATGAGTTGCCACAACATCTACGTGCTTTTCCACAACAGAGTTAGGCATTGGATCAGGTGTCCGAGAAGCAGATTCGCCTGAGGCTCAAAACAAAAAGCAAAACACAAACATACAAGTAATGAGGATGCCAAGAATGTTTCAAGATTCAAAAGAAAGTAATGCTGATCCATTAAACAAAAAGCAAAACACAAACATACAAGTTATCAACTCACATGGTTGTCGTCCTCTTTTCTTTTTGTTCACGCTCTCTCTGTATTTAGACTCCTCATGTGCCTGCATAGAGTCAGTATGATGAATAATCGACAAAAGAGGATCAAAGTGATATACACAAAATGGTGTTTCGTTTTTTCTTTTTTTTTGGTAACACTTTATTTAAAGGGGAGTTCTGATGGGAGTTCAGTATGACTATCCTAGTTCTACTCTCGCCCAAACATACTTAACTGCGGAGTTCTGTGCATTAGTGCTGGTATGATCGCACCGAGTGTTTCGTTTAGAAAACCATTGTAAATAGAGAAGTAACAATTTAACCTTTTCTTGTGTTTTCCAAACTCCATTTTTCCACTCCATGGAAGGTCTTAACTGCGAGTGTTCAAAGTCTTTACTCTGCTTGTTTAGACCCAAAAGCACAGTGTATCTCTCCCCACAAAGAACCTTGCTTACAACACTTGGACACCATCCACACTCGAGCAATGCATCCACATTCTCCATCAACCCAAAAGCTCTAGAACCAAAAGGCGGTGGTGAAGGCCTGATTTCAGAGTAAGGAACGCTAATCTTGGTGTATTCATCTTCTCCACCGTTCAAACTCTTGTACTTCACAAGAAACGTCACACCTTCATCCTCCTTAATGGTTATAGCCGAAACCCAAATATTGCCAAAAGGTTCAACTTTGGTTCTGACTTCTATCTTCCTTCCGGTGCTAAACTCCGAGTCAATCAAATGCTTCAGCCACACACACAACAACAACAACAAAAACAGTAAAAAGATGAAAACTTAATCCAAAGATGAATAATAAAAAGGAAAGGAGAGACTGTTACTCGTTTTTGGCAACGAAACCACTCTTCATCTTTCCAAACCAAATGTGGCCTTAAGTCCTTACGTTCAACCTCGATGACATCTGGTTCGAATCTTAGATACACCAAGAAACGTCCACAACCCAATACTTTAATCACCCAACCAAACCACCAGCCACCTTTGTGAGCAGCGTCAATCACGTCACCTTCTTCAAAGCCAACGTCAGTGAACGCATCCGAAGGTGGAAAGGGACGAATCTGAGGATGGAGAGCGGTTGTGATTAACGGAGGAGAGTAGTCTTCGTTGGACAGAGGGTTCAAGTGTCGAACAGAGAGCTTCGTGCGCTTAGACTGAGTAAGATTTTGTTGGAGAAGAGCTCGATACCATACATAGCCAGAAGAGACTTCAATCTGGGAGCCTTTAGATGCGGAGAGTTTCTCCTTTCTCCCTGTAGTTAACAGCATGCCTTCCTTCCCCCACAAGCTATCACTTTTTGTGTCTTCTTCAACGAAACCCTAGAACAACTTTAGTTAGAGAAAATGCCGCTTAGAGTTCCCTGCAAACGGTGTTCTTTTGAGCTAGGTTTTTTTTATTAGGGCTTATCTTAATATACGGATCTGTGTTAAATGTTGATTAACAAGTTTAAAACCATTGGTAAGTTCGGATTTTATACGTATAGTTTATGTTATTGACTATGATCCATACATATATCAATTGTAATAAATATTAGTCTTTTCACTGAAACCTGGGGAACAAAACCCAAGAATTGTCAATTCAACTGTAAATGATAGGCTATATACATATGTGAAAACCCTTTTAACAAGTACAAGTACACCACATGCTAACAAAAAAAAGAGACTGAAGATCTGAAGGTCGCGTGTTCGATCCACGCTCACCGCAATACTTTTATAAAAAAAATTTAAAAATTAATGGGCTTGGTTGAATATTCATAATCTGACATACTTTTTAATTAATAAGAATTTTTTTTAATACTGGTTAATTATGCATTACAAAATACAAACTATAAAACTATTATATATCTATATTATTAAAACTGAAGTACCTTTTGATACTATTTGGAAATAAAGATAACAGAATAAATGAAACATTGTTTGGAAACATGGATAGTAGATTAAGTATCTTCTTTTATTTGCACATTTAACTATTGCATTTACAATAAATTAAATACTTTCATTTTGTATTTCTTTTTATTTACAGATTATGTCCTTGCATTTAAAATCAATTTAAATTAATTAATTACAAGAATTTTTCTTTCTTTGTGGTGAAATAAAAACACAAATTGAAATATATAATATATATTATATAGAATATTTTTAAAATATAATATTGCCTTATTTAATTTATTCAAATATAAAAAAATTAGAGATCAAATTTTAAGAAAACAAAATATCATAAAATTAATGATAATTCATAGAAAACTAATGCAAAAATTATTTTAGTATGTTGTTTCATTTTAAAATAAATTAACAAAAAACTACATGTTAATATATGAATTGTACAATTACATAAAATTGCATTTATCAATTTCTAATATAATATTTTATAAAAATAAAATAATAATTATTAAACATTTATATTATAAATAATATATTCTATTCTGTATGTAAATTATAAAATATATATTTATAATAAAACTAACGATTTATGAGTTTACGTTGACCACAAGTTAAATCAAACACTCGCACGGGGGTGCGGGTCAAGTTCTAGTATGATATTACAGTCGATAATTCTACATGTTTTATGCGTATTCATGTCTGACTGCATCACCCTGAACCGCCTTATAAGATCTATTCCTAATGGTACTCTTTGCGTTATGCTGAAGATCTCATGTAAACATTTTTTCAAATAATCAGCATAATTCGCCATTCATCTTTCTGAGAATTGAAACCACTTAGTGTAAAAAATGCGTAGACTAAGATTCAAACCCTAGATCTAGTGTAGAAGCTTTTAAACTTTGACTACTAGATCACGATACTTTCACAGTAAAAATTTTGATTAGGCTGACAAAAAAACTCAACCAAACGGGTACGAGTATCCAAATATATAAAAATATCAATTATATATGTATATATATATACATATAATATAATTAAATATTTTAGTAATTTAAAAATCTATATAAACTAACGAAAACTAAATTATTGTAAAGTATTCCAACTATCCAAAATATTAAAACTTATCTTGACATTTTATCATAAATATCCAAAAAATTGAATTATCTGAGAATTTTATCTGAATAATCTTAGTTATTCGATATTTTAACCAAAATACCATATATTTAACTTGAACTACCCGAAATAACGGAATTGAAACCAAATGAGAACCAAAATTTTCTAATATTTTATGGTTCTTAGTTTTACTATTCAAATTGAGTCGAACTTAAAACTACCCAAACCGAATCCGAACAAACCCTAAACCAAAAATAGGCGAAATAGTAATAGATCATCTAGCTTCCCGAACTACCCCATATCAGAAATACCCGAACCGATCGAAATGCATATGCTTAATTTCGATGATACTGCGGGCCCAAATAACCTCAACAACGTTAAAAGTCGTACGGATGGAAATTTAATATCTCAACATGTTCTGAAAAGATGGCAGATCGGATCTATAGTTTGCTTTGAGATTATTAAACATCGTTATATATAGCAACTTGAATAACTTAAACAACTTAATTATGGACTTAACAATCTAAAATCTTGACTTTCGGAGAGCTAAAGACATGAATGAGTATATATAAAAGCTTAGATCTTGAATCTTGATGATAATTTTCTTTGTAACACTAGTATAACAAAATGGATCACACTGTTTCTTCTCTCCAATGCTTCTTTTTAGTCTTATGCATATCTCTGTCGGTATGTTCCAACTCGGAAGCTAGCTCCAAATCAAGAAAGAAACCTATTTTGATAAACTTCGGCGACTCCAACTCCGACACTGGAGGAGTTCTCGCCGGCGTTGGACTTCCTATCGGACTCCCTCATGGCATT